CCCCCCCACACTTGTGCTACCCGCCACCCCACCTACCCAATGCCAGAGTGGGGCATATGCATGATGGCTGCCCCCTCTCCCCGCTCACCCCCAATGAGCATGGTGCAGATGGAGAAGATCTTTTCAGCATCAGTGTTGGCGCACACATTGCCAAAGCCCACGCTGGTCAGGCTGCTCAGGGTGAAATAGAGGGAAGCAATGTAGGCGCTGCGGATGGAAGGGCCTCCCACAGAGTTGTTGATGTACGGTGCCTCCAGTCTCTTGCCCAGCTCATGGAGCCAGCCTGGGGTTAAAGTCAACCACAGCCTGGGGTTAGAGCCACCCGGTGCTTGGCTTTGGTTTCTGTGGGGTGTTGGGATGGTGTAGTGCCCATGGCAGCTAGTTATTGTGGAATCTCCATCCCCCACTCCTCCTCCAGTTCTCAGCCTGTGCACACACAGATTACAGGTGGAAGGGGCACTGGGGCTGCTCCAGTCCCCCAGCTTCTCAGCCACAGCCTGGCACTGGCCTTTTGGCTGGAGAAAGGCCACAGCCACTCCCCACCCCCAATAAAATTACAGTGGTCAAAGCAGCTTGTGCCTGGACAGGATAGGGGAGCACCTTTAGTGAAGAGAGTACACCATGGCCCAGGCATTACAAGTCCCATCCCTGGGACCTGCATAGCCAGGCTCACATCTGCCAGGGTGAGGGGGGAGACCTGCTCTAATACCCAGCCCTGACAGGAACAGCCCACAAATTTGCCCCCCCTCCACTCCTTCCCCACCCCCACTAGCCCAGCCCATGCACACAGGGGGTTTCACAGGGATTACGGCTTAGCTAGCAATCTCCCTCCTCACCTTCACCTCCCCTGGTGCCCTCTCTGGCATGTCTTCATGCACCAAGTCAATGACTAACAGTCATGCACACGGTGCAAATCCCCGAGTCCCCCCAACACTGCTTTTTGCCTGCATGGCCACGCCTGCCACTCAGACAGCAACTGTGCTCAGCTTGGCTGTTGCAGGAGCTGAAATATGACCCTCTCTCCCAAGCAGGGGCCAAGCCAAGACCCTGGGGGATGGGAAGGCTGCCTTTGTATCAGCTCACTGTCCCTCAGCAGCCAGGGTTACTTTCCGAGGGAACAGCTCCCATCCACTGAGATACCTTGTTGTCCAAGCCTTGTGCTGCTCCTGGGATGAAAGGAAAACCCAGCTGCGATGCCCTGGATTCCCTTTGTTCCCTTGGACACCTGTGGTGGTTCACAGCTGTGCCCCTCACCCCACACCTGAGTGCTGTTGACTGTGCTCCAACTTCCCATGATCAGTAGGAAGGACAATTTGCAAAGTGCTTTGGGGGAAAGGCAGATGTAGAGAAGCAAAGGTTAACAAAACCTCTGCATGGAGGCGTGGCAGGTAGGTCAGTGTCATGGGACCTTTGTGGGTGTGGAAACAAGCCTTACAGTCCATTGGAGAGCAAGGAATGGAACCCAGGAGTCCGGACACCCGGTCCCCTGCTCAAGACTACTGGACCCCACTTTCCTCCCAGAGAAAAGAGTCCTGGCCTTGACTACCCTCTTGCTCAGGAGTCCTCTTCCACTGACCCCTTGTGCACGTTCCCAAGAGACACTAAGGTCTCGGTAAGTTATGCAGAACAACACCTGCCATTGCAACCAGGCTCACTCACCAATGTCCCAGGTCAGGGGGTCATTACTTTCCATCTCCTTCCGACCGATGACGTACCAGATGCAGGCCATCCAGTGTGCAAGCAGCGCAAACATGGACATAAGCAGGGTGAGCACCATGGCGCTGTACTGGGAATACCTGTCCAGCTTCTGCAGGAGCCGCAAAAGCCGCAGGAGACGTACAGTCTTCAGCAGGTGCACCAGTGAGGTCTGGGGGGTTGAGAAGAGACACAGCTTGTCACCGACTGCCAGCACCACAACATGCTTTGTTCCCCGTGGATGGACAGGAGCTTGAGATATAGGGCAGGAGCTGGATGGGAAATGGAGTCAGAGGGCTCATCATGAGGCCTGCACCCTGCTGAGCAGCCTGTGAAGAGGAGCCCCTGTTCAGTCACCACTTAATTCCCACTTCAGCCCTCAACCTTGTCTCTGCCAGGGTGAATGAGTCCTGCTAATTCAAAGTTGTTCCCAATGAAAACCTACCTTTTCTCCCTGCCCCACTGTTAGGTCCTGACAAGGCCCCCCTCCAGAGACAGAAAACGCTCCCCTTCCTCCAGAGGAAGAGATACAGCCCCATCACTGCAATGATCCTGACCTTGAAACAGTTGGATATTTAGCTTGTCTCACTGATCACCTTCACACTTTCTTCTTGGACTGTGAAAACCACCTACCTGCTGCCTGAAGCAGCAGCATGAAACCATGAGCTAAGGTACATGTTTGACAGCAAGCACAACTGGCCACTGGAGTGGGCAACCCAGGGCAGTGGTGGAGTCTTCATCTCTTGAGGTCCTGAGGCCCAGGCTGGAGGTCTTCCTGTGTCAGGCAGGATGAAATCCAATAGCTTGCAGTAGGCAGGGGAGCCATGCTAGAGATCCAACAGTCACTTCCAGCCTACGACTGTTCAAGGTTTCAGGGAATGGTTTCATAGGATGGTCTGGTTTGGAAGCAGCTTCCTAGGGCCACAGCCCCTAGGTCAGGGTGGAGATAGTTTGAAGTAGTGATCCTCAATGGTTGGGGCAGGCCACGGCACACTAGGGTACCTTGAGATCCTTTCAAGAGTGCTGTGGGGCAATATTCCCTCTAAGGAGTAGCGGTCCGTGAGCGTGCCGCTTTGGTCCCACCTCCCCCTTTCAGCATGGTCTGCCGGTAAGTGTTCCACAGTAAGTGTCCAGGTGGGAGTGGCCAGGGATCGGCCACCACCCTTCTCCATGCTAACTGCTGCCCAGAGCAGCATAGTGGAGTGCTGTGGGGCAGCCATGGGTCGGACACAATCACCTGGTAGAACTGGAAGGGAGGCATGGAGGCTGGCGTGGGACACTTACACTTCTCACGCGGGGCAGGCAGCAGCTCCTCCCTGAGGTGAGGCAAGGCAGGGCTGGGGGCTGGCGTGGGCTCTGCCGGCTCCAGGGAACTGCTTTGCTGGCTCTGGGGAACTGCTTTGCTCCCCAGCCCTGACACTATGCGCCTCCTCACTCCCCAAGGAGCACCCGTCCCTGTCCCTGCCTCACCTCGCCTTGGGGAGGAGCCGCTGCCTGTCCTGCATGAGGAGTGAGGAGCTTACCTTCAGTAAGAGTCCCATGCTGGCCCTGGTGCCTCTGCCGCACTCCGTGCCCAGCTCCTTTCTGGGCTGGCGTGTGGCATTAAAAAATTGGTGCGCGGCAAGATATTTAATTGTGTGCAGCCACACATGCATGCAGCTTAGAGGGAACCTTGCTGTGGGGTCCCATGCAATGTTAGCAATGTTAGGCATGCACACAATTCCCAAGATAAATCTAGAGATTTTAAATAGGAATCCACAGTGTTAAAAACATTCTGCCCTGTTGTGGTCTTTCTAAGGTCTTGGCAGCAGAAAAATTGCTCTAGTATATTTTCGTAGTCAAAAAATGAATGAGAACTAAGAGCTGGAATTTTCTGAGGGGTGCCTTGAGTCTATCAAGGGGTCCTTGAGATTAAAATGGTTGAGAACCACTAGACAGTCTGAAGTTGGAGCTATCCCTATTGTTATCCTGTCTAATGTGAACAGGCAAGCCTACAGCATCAGGCGGGCATGGGGTCACCCTGACTAGAACAGAAGTCAGCAACATCCAATGAAGGAGTCCTGGGTCTGGGTGAAAGAGTGGAAGACATGTTTCTTCATGGTGAGGGCTTCCCCAGGATCCTGCTTGTCATGGACTCTTCCCTGAGGAGCAGAGATGGTGCAGAGAGCCCAGGGGCATAAGCAGAGCAGAAGCAATGTGATCCTCAAGGTGCCCAGCAGAGCAGACGTGACATGGCAAGGATGAGTCCCCTACAAAGCTGGGACTGCTGGAGGTGAAGGACTCCTCCCTGCCAGCACCACAGCTATGATCATTGCAGTGGAGACAGGGGGTGACCCCAGTAAGGGCCTACTCTGCCTAGCCCTGGAGATGAGGTCCCTCTGGTTGGGAGAGGCGGCTGAGCCCCTGAGGCAGCAAGTCCCTTGAGCATGTAAGATGGACCTGTACAAAATTTGGATTCCTCCAGTCCTGGTCCACAAACTGCACAAACTCCATCCTAAGGGTAGAATGGAGAGGTCCATAGTAAGCTGCCTCATCAGGAGACAACTGGGGAGACTGCACCTGGAGAAGGAAAGATGAACTTGGTGGGGAAAGGACACAGGCAGCTGTAAGTCTGCTGCTGGGGCTGCTTGGTGTGAGGCCAATAAGATCTGTTCGCAAAGGGGAATCCCAGGAAGATGTTACAGCCTTTCTTCACAAGGCAGAGACCTCCTAGCTTATCCAGATCCACTCTGACGGCTAGGAGCTGGGGTTTCATTCACTGGCTCATCAGGAAACCCCACGTGACTCAGGACTTCTGGTTTTCCTGGCTGCACATTTCTTGCTTCTCGCTTCTTTGTTAAACAGGGGTCTCCGATAGGAGACTGCAGGGTGGGAAGGTCGGAGCACACACAATCAAGGGCATGGTGTGTGTATGCACACAGCAGCACCAGGAAAAGGCTAACTCTATGCAGACAGCTTGCTCATTGTGAAGACACCTCCATGAACCTTCCCCTCAGCTTCTTGGTGCTGTTGAGAATCTCCTGGGCCTGCATCTGAGACCCTCTCACTGCAGCAAAAGTCCAGAGCTCCCTCTCCAGCTGGGCTTCTGCAGCAGGCCACTGCTGCCCTTCTCACACCCAGCACTTTCCCTTCCCCACATATCACTTTAGACACAGGCTTCCTCCTGCACCTGAGCAATGGCCTCCTCCATCTCCTTCCTGCAGGAAACCTGTGGGCCAGTGCCCGATCACAGGCTGCTCTCATGCACATGTCCTGACACACAGGGCAATGAGGACAGGAGCAAAGGACCTGGGCTTGGCTTAACCCAGCAGCTCCGGTGATTCAAGGGCTCCCAGGGAGCACCGCGCTGCTCCCCAGTGCGACTGCTGCGCCTGCAATCAGGATAATTACAGGCTTTGCACTCTGTGTGGCTGGGCCTCACACCTCCCGGCTCCCTTCTCCAATTAGCAAAGGATGCCAACCAGGGAGGGAAAGCTGCCTGGTGACAGCCCCACACACCCAGCAGCTCAACCCTGCTTGGGCAGGAAGCCATTAACCCTTTGGCACCCACTGGCATAGAGCTTCCCAAGGCAGAAGGGGGCTGAGATTGAGGCCTAGGAGTGGCTGGGGGATTGAATTTCTGGGGCTTTCAGGGTTCTGACAGACAGAGTCCTGGGGACTAACCCTGCACACACCAAACATCCTAGGCACATGCAGACTCACCACAAACAATGCTTCTCCCTGCGGAGGAGTTCATCTCTCTCTAAGGAGGCTGTGATATGGTGTGGGTGGGAGGGCTCCCTGGAAAGACCCATCCAAAATGATCTGGTATCAGGTTCTTCTTAGGACTTAACCCTTGAAATACTGCATCTACTGTGCATCTGGGCAGGGTCAGGAGTATTTTTCAGGTGGCTCTCAGAGCAGCAGCAGTGAAGGAAAGCTGGTGGTCCATGCATGAAGAAGGATCTTGTAATGTGGGCTGGCACCATAGACAAGGGAACTAAAGTTCTTCCCCGGATGCTCCCACTTCACTGGGTTGCTTTTGGGTCACCCTCTTTCACAAGATGTCCTGCTGCTGACAGGAGCTCAGTGATCTGCATTCAGGTCCATGGAGAGCTCTGCAAGGCACAGACCCTTCTCCCTGCCCATGGTGACATGCACTAGGTCGCCATAGGTAAGTGAAGCTCTCCTCTTGCATCAGTTATGTCTGCCCAGGGATCAAGCATGAATACCCTGCAGCCCATTTCCACCTCCCCCCCTCCACCCATTTGCATTGTTTCAGCACTGTCTGCTTCCCAGTATGTATGCACGCACCTATTTGCCAGAATGCTTCTGCAGGTGGAAGTGATGCCAGGCATGCATGAGACTGTATTTGCAGGTGTGTGTTGGACAATATTTCCCTGGGTCTCTTTGCATGTCTGCTGCTGCATTTATGCATGTGAGCATGTGTGCAAATGCACACCTTGCAGAGTGAGGGTTCAGATGGGGGAGCTGGGCTCCAAGCCTGCACCTCCTGTAGCAGTGATTTAGCAGTTGCTGTCATTTGCGGTTGTCTCTGGTTAAATTAGGATGCGTGGGAGGCTTCCCACTATAGCTGTGATAGCTATGATTCCCCTCACCCCCCAACACAGCCCGCCAGCTCCTTGTGGAAATGCACACACAGTCCCCAGCACTAGTCACCAGGATGAGCCCTGTGGGAAAGAGCCCTGTCACTTACCACAGTCACATTGAAGGCATAAAGGAGATCAAAGGGCAAGGCAGCGACAAGGTCCACGAAGAACCACGTGGCCACATAGTGGATGCAGATGGAGCGGGTGTCATATACCACCTGCCCCGACTGGCTCACGTAGGTGGTGCGGAAGTTCAGGATGATGTCTGCCAAGAGAAGCAATGACCCTGTCACAGCCCCACCCCACAAGCAGCCTGACATTACCAGGCCTTGGACCCAGCCAGACTCCAGGCAGTGCCATTTGTGCTGCTGGGCCTTGCTCCCCAGGTCAGCCTCGAAACTCGTGCACTGGTGGATGAGCAGGGGAGACACTGGCATGCTCATTGCAGCTACCTGCAATCCAAGGGAAGGTTGGCTTCACCCATATGTGCTTGTCTTTGGCACAAAGCCAGGGCCAACGCCTTAACATCACCTCAACACTTGGACCGAGGGAGAAAACTGGCCCTCTCTCCCTTCCACCCCTTCCAGCCACAAAGGCTCCTGGCCATATTCCCTGCTCCAGTGCCAAACCCAGGGACCTACCCAGGATGAAGAGCATCTCCACTGCGATGTCACTGACAATAGTGCTGCGGGCAGCTGACAGGCTGTCCTCGGTGCTGGTGAAGCAAACGTTGTAAGGGACAGTGACAGCCACGTAGAAGGTGGCCAGCAGGATGAGCCAATCCCACAGGGCCTTGAAGATGCTGTAGTGCAGCAGGATGAAGCGGGACTTCTGCACCGAGGCCACTTTGTACTCGGGGATAGACAGCTTGTTCTCCAAGACGTTCTGCAGGGAGTAGGGAGGCACCAGCTCAGAGACTGTCACCATCCAGGGGCAATGGGGGGACCCCTCAACACACCCTTCCTGGGGGCAGGGTCCACCCATGTGAGGTTACAGGGACTTATAATAGGAGGTGGGAGACCCCCACCCTGCTATGACCTTGCAATGGAGATTCCTAATGGGGCACCATAAACTTGACCAGCCCCTGCTCCATGGAGCTTGAAAACCATGCAGAACAGCAGAGAGAAACCCTGACACCCACTACCTCCTCTGCCATCTTGCCTCAATGCCAACACCCCCTCCTCATGCATACCCCCTGGCACCTTCTGTCCAGAAACCAGCCTAGAGTTCCCTGCTAGTTACATGCAGCTCAGCCAGCCCCTCTCTGAACTGTGATCCTCTATGGGGCAGACTACTGCATTCTCCACATCCATAGGTTAGGTGGTGGTGGTGGAAAATGGGGCAGAACAGGGAGAGCAAACAGCATAGGGAACCCAGACCTCCCCCTGAGCAGCCTGAAATCACACACCCAGGAGCCACCTAGCACTAGCCTGAAGCAGACCCACAGTGACACTCACATGCAGACTCTACCCTTTTGAAGCCACCCTGCCATGTCAAGCCACCAGGGGCACTGCTCCAGAAGAAGCCCCATCCAAGGGCAGGCTCCAACCAAGGCTGAGTCCCAAGGAGGATGAACCGCTGACCCTGACTCATATGTTACGAGGCAGAGTGCATTCCGACCCAAGCCTCCCATGTCTGTGGCTCATGAAACCCAGCGGCCAGGCTGGTCTGAGGTGACCCCTACAGCAGCCACATCTGGTGTGCAGAGTCCATGATAACTCCCTCCAAGTACATGCCTAATGCTATTATGAGTAATCTACCAGTGCCGCCTGCTGCTGCCCAAAGGACTTAAAAGATACACATGTGGGCAGCCCATGTAGATTCAGCACCACTGTGTGCTTGCGTGAAACCCAGCTGATGGGACCATCATGGAACTGCTACTCTGAGTGAGTGAAGGGCAGGTCCCTGCTTCTTCCCCACTGTTTCCACCCCTGAGAACACCCCGAGTCATTGGATTGAAACACAGGACGATCCCAGGTATGTGTGGATTTGGACACTGTAGCCTGTCACTAGGGGTATCTGAGTGCCTCCCCTCCCATGGCTGGCACACAGGATAGAGTCATGCTGGACAACACCCGTGCCATGCCCAAAGCTGTGGCAGCACCTTTCAGCCAGAGGACTGTATGGACTACATTCGTAGAGTCCTTCCTGTGAAGGGCAGCGGTGACCAGGGCTGATGCTAACCAGGGTGGGGAAGTGGGGCAGGGATTCCAGCCACGGACACTGAAGGGAACTCTCATCCTTCCAAGCACAGCCAAGAACCCCCACAAGAAGCATTTAACACAGCCCTTTTGCTGGCTTTGCAGCCCCCCTTTCTAGCCCTCTGGCTCACCCATGCCGAAGAGTTTCATAGCCGATGATCCCCACATCAGATCCCTGCATAAGCACTGACAGAAAGCAAAGCTTTCAGGAGCAGATGGTCCATTGTGACAGGATCGCTCTGCCATGTTTCTAATGGTTATGGCCCCTGGCAGCAAAAGCCAAGATCAGCCTCTGGTTTCTAGTTTGGGTTTGTTTCACTCCAGTTCCCAGCTGCTAGGTCTCGTCCTGCCTTCCTGTGCTCTGCTGAGAGCTGCCAAGTACCTGCAATCTCCTCCAATGGAGATGCTTGTAGACCATGATCCAGCTACCTCCTAACCCTCGCTTGGGTGAGCTGAGCTGAGCAGCTGTTTTAGGTTCTATCCCCCAGGCAGGTTTTCCAGAGAAGGAAGCATCCCTGGAGCCGTTCTCTGAACCCTTTGCATCCTTTCTGCAGTGTGGACACCAGACCTGGGCCTGGGGTCCAGCCATGTCTTCACAGTGCTGTGCACAAAGAAAACCCCTTCCCCACTCCTGCTTGATTCTCCACAGCTTGCACATCCTGGCATGCTGAAGTCTCCTTACTGGGCTCCACCAGAGCAGACTCATCTGTGTTTGATACAAGGCAGCTGGGTTTTCTCGACAGCAAAAGGGTGATAGGAGAAGCTGGCATCTCTCTACAGGGAGCTCCAAGCACACATTCCAGGGACCCTCATACGTGCTCCTGTCCCTGGTGCTGTGAAGCAATTCAGGTCACACCAAAGAAAAATGGAAAGCATGTGGCAGGAGCTGAATTACCTGCGCTCCCAAGCAATTCTGCATTTCTGGGAAACTGAGGGAAGGCTCCACAAGGAGAACCTACCTCATCACAGCCACCACCTGGGCTGCCACAGAGCATAAACAGCACAGGGCTGGAGACCCTGCCCAGGGGTCCCATGCTGAGTAAAGGCAGTTTGCTCAGAGATGGCCAGTTACATTTATGTAACATCAACTGCTGAGAATGAGGCCCAGCCCCAGGTCAATCAGTTTATTCCCCTCCCTGTTAAACATTCAGGTCTCATTTCTCCCCTGAATTTATTTGATCAGCTTCTGTGCAGCTAATTCCCTCTGGTCCCAGGTCCAGCAGAGCTGTGCACAGGGAAATTTTTCGCTGGGTTCTAACATATAACAAGTGATATAACTGTGGAGCCCAGCAGACACCAGGTGCTTGTTCCTGGTTGCACTGAACTCTAACCACTACTGGCAACAAACCCCTGTATTTAGTCAGGACTCAACAGTGGTGACTGTTCCCACTGCAAACCCAGAGGAGGCTGAGCGTGGGTCAGGTCTCACAGACGAGCTGTGGATTAGGCAACTGGAGAGTTCGTCTCCATATTTTTTTAATTCTAATTTTATATTCCCAATGTCCAAATCCAATAACCATGTCTATAAATATCCACAGGCCATACAATTTTAACTGGGCCAGTATCCTACCTTCCAGACCCATAGGCCAAGGAGTTCAGATACTCCGCATATACAGGTGGGCATCTTATGTACAAGTCCCAGGCCCAGAGACCTGGGACTTTGGATGCCCCCAGTGAGATGTGATCTTAGCCAAAAGACTAAGAAGTGATCAGGGAATCCACACAGCTAGACCCCTCCACTGACCCACAGAAGAGTGCTATGAAGCACGGTGGAAAAGTGTGATGTTGCCCAAGGAACAGTGAAGTTTGTGGCAGCAGGAGAGGCCACAGATCTGCCCATGGATGTCGTGCCAGAGGGAGAATGAAAGGCAGGAGGGACACACCTCCTGAGAGAGTGGGCAGTAGGAGAGAGTCACAGCAGAAGGGTGCCTGGAAATCCCAAGGATGAGCAGACATGGCTAAAAGAAGGGGCAAGGAAAAGTGGAGAAGTCACTAACTGGACTCAAGTGTCATGTGGCTTGTATGGCAGTGGCTGCAGCTCTGAATGACAGAGGAACTAAATAATGTATTGCAAAAGCAAACTGCTGGCTCCCTCTCCATTTAAAGTACAAGCCTCCAACTCCTTGGGAGGGCTGCCCCACACCACAGCTCCTGCACATTTCCTCCACCTACAAGGACTCTGCCAGGGTAATGGGAACAGGATCTGGCTTGCTGCATTCAGCCTGGGCTCTTGGGGAGACCTCAGAGCCATGGGGGCTAGAAGGCACCAAGCAAGCAAAGAGGTCTTTCAGAGCCCTGAGCTGGCTGTGGGTCCTTACACTGCTGATCTTCATTTCTCCCCGGTCCTTCCGGGAGAATTGGCTGGTGAGTTGGTGCAGCACTGTCCGACCCTGCCTCCGTGCTGCCCGCAGGTGCAAGCTTCCTGCCTTCTTGCTCCTGTGCTTTTCTGAGACAGAGGAGAAAGAGTTCAGACTCCCAGCCCCAGGGCAGCTGCTCCCATGCCCATTCCACAGCTAGTCAGCACTGGTGCAGCTCAACCTGTTCTCAAGTAGGTGTGCTTGCACATGAGGGCTGTGCAGAGATGAATGTAGAGCCCTGGGCTAGACAAAGATCAGTCCTAGGCACAGGATGTGCACCATTCAGCTACCTTGCCCCAACTCCACTAGGGAAAAAACCGTTCCCAGCCACTCCCAGTTGGCACCCCCAAGCACCAGGGGGGAAGGCACCAGCTGTGCCAGCGGGACCCACCCTTGCTCTAAAGCAGTGGTGCTCAGTCTTTTGGCCCTGAAGGCCAGAGAAGTAATGCAGTGTCTGTCTGTGCGCTGGATAGGACCCTGGGGCCCATAACTGCCCCCTCTCTGCCCCATGTACCAGGATTGGCCCTGGAGTTCCAGCACTGTCCCCTCCTACCCCCTGCATGCCATGATTGGGTCCTGGGGAGCCAGCACTCCCTCTCAGACCCTTCTCACACCACCCCTGCCTGGCCCTGCATGGTGGGATCAGGCACCAATCCAACACACAGAGCTCCCCAGGGGTCCACATATTGGGCAGCAATGCTCCTCTGCCACCAAATTTCTGGACCTGTGGAGAGCCCCTCAGGCTGGATGACATGGTGCTACAGGCTGGATCTGGCCCATGGACCAGAGATAGAGCACTCCTACTCTTTAACCTTGTCCCTATTCCGTTTCTATATCACCTTACCATACATTGTCCCTGTCTCCTCCCCCCACTGCATCCTGCTCTCATCCCCTCAGCCTGCTTTCTAGCTCAAGTCCTTTCCACCAGCCAAGGCTCACCATCCTTCCGGTCACTCTGGTGGTTCTTGCCCCTACTCTCGGTGATGTCTTTGAAGGAGAAGAGGAAGAGAACAACTTCACCCTTTTCATTCTTGATGGGCAAAATGTCCAGCAGGCACCAGAAGGCTGTTCCTGCAAGGAGATGGATAGAATTGAGATGAGAGACACTTTCTCCTCACCAACACCACCAGAAGGGGCTGACTAGGCCAGCACTGCAGGAAGCAAAGGGGGAGCCAAGTCGAGGATCCAGCTCAGAACTTTAGGGAGAGCCTTTCACTTAGGGCATGTTTTGAAGTACTATCCGAGAAGTTTCCCTTTTCCTATAACGCTCTCTTGTGAGCAACATCCATCCCCACAAATGGTGAACTCCAGACTGCAGCACTAAAAGTATGGACTGCGATCGATTGCTTGAGCTATGGGAATAGCTCTATGAGACAGCAGCAGCAGTGGGCTAGTATCCCCCTGATGGCCAGGGGCATGTACTGAGCCTTCAAGTTGTCTATAAAGCCTGGCAGGCTGGAAGCAGCCAGGATGCTTTGCACAGATCAGTGCTGGTATTAATGGAGCTTGGAAAGCAGCAGGAGGGTAAGTACAAAGCACAGGCTTCTGGGGCAGTCCTTTCCCCTCCCTGCTTGGTGTCCCAGTGGCTGGGCAGCCCATGTGGTCCTGTAACCTTAACCCCCCATCCCCATGCAGGGGGCCCTCTGGAGTCCTGGTTCACAGCTCTTCCTGCTCTACCCCACCAAACCCTGCTCTTCCAGATCCAGGAATGGAACCCAGGAGTTCTGACTCTCAGACCCTCTGGGATGAAGTGGGACATATGGTGCACAGGCTTAAGACTGGCCCCCCACCCAGGCGACTACACAGGCCTCAGATGCTGCCACTGCAACCCAATACCCACTACTGTGCAGTGAGTCAGGTGCCCGCTGCCCTGCCTGCCACTCACCGCCCTTCTTGTAGAAGCAGACCTCGGTCTGATACTCCTGCTTGCCATCCAGCACCTTCTCAATGCGCTGCAGGACAGGCTCACTGGTCTCAGGCCCATACAGGAAGCGGCAGCTGCAGTTCTTCTGCATGACTTCAGTGCGGGCAAAGCCAGTGAGGTCACAGAAGCCATCAGAACAGTAGACAATGGGGAAGCCACGGTGAACCTGAGCATTGGCCAGGATGAAATTGCTGTCTGGAAAGAACACACAGGCAGACCCATAAAGGGTCATGTTTGTACCCTGGAGCGGCCATGAGAGAACCCAGAGTCATGGAAAGGACACAGGGGTGTTGGTTCCCATCCCTTCCTACCCTAACCCACCAAACCCTACCCCACTTCCAGAGCTAAGACAGGAACCAAGGAGCTCTGCCTCTCAGCCAATATTTCAACCTACTGGGCCCCAGTCCCTGTCCAGAGCCAGGAAGAGCACTTGAGACTTCTAACTCCCAATTTCCTCTGCTCTAGACACCACTCTCCTCTTAGAGCTGAGAGCAGAAAAAGTCCTTACACCCACTCCCCTCTGCTTTAAACATTAGATCCCACTCCCTGAGCTAGAAACAGAACCTAAGCATCCTGGCTTCCAGTGCTGCTCTACTTGCTCTAACAGTGGGACATACACATACACAAACTCTCTCAGTAGCTTCCAAATTTAGGACACAATAAATCAATCAGTGAGATGCACCTTCCTCCTGTCACTTCCTCAAAGTTGTTAACTGAACAGTGAGTCTAGCCATGTGCTACTCCACTCTTCTAGCAACCTCCAGGCCTTTTCTGTACTGTTCCCAATGACTCAACCTTCCCCCTGCTCTGTTCATATGCTTGCACCACACCCATCATGGAGTCATCTGGTCTATGGGCTCTGAGATATTACAGACCACCAAGAATTAAAACACAGGGATGCTTGTGTGACTGATGGCATTTGACCTACTGGGGCTCCTGCCACAAGTGTCACAGCCCACAACAGTCAGAGACTCCCAGAACAACACCTTCCCTGCCTCCACTGCTCACCCCCACCACCGCAGACTGAAAGGGTCCCCAGGCAGAGCACTGCAGACTGACCGCAGCTTGGCCAGTGTTCATGGCCATCAGCATCTCAGCAAGAGGAATGTGCCATTTACAGCAACTTCACTTCCTGAGGGAGGGGAGCAACCCCTGAGTGGGGAGAGTGACAGGAAAGCTGGCTGCAGGATTAGCCAGAAGGGGGGTCTCCTCAGCCAAATGGTGGCAGGATCTCCTCATCCAAATAAGTGGCCAGAGATGAGGACAGGTGGAGGGGATGAAGAGGGGAATGCCCCACAGCTGGGGGGAAGGAGTGAAGTCAGGTACAAGCCCAGTGAAGTTAGCCAGCATGTGTGACCCATAGAAAATGGGTTATGTGCCTAAGGGACAGTTTCACCCACCCACACTCCACTTTCCACGCATCAGCCGTGCAGTCTCATTACCAACAGTGCTAGGGCTGAGTAGGAACCAGTCCCCACTGCGCAACTGGGACACTGAGGTCTGGGCAGCCTCAGGGACTGCCCCAGGGCACAGGAGGTAGCTGTGGCATGGCTGGGAGACAGACCCAGGCTTCCCAAAGTTTCAGGGGAGCATCAACCATCATCCACACAGCAGCAGCTTAAGGAGTGTAAAGTTCACTGGGGGAGATGGACAGGGGCTAGAGATGAGGTGAGGCCAGGCCAGGCCCCCACTCCCTACCCTCCTAGCCTCCCACTTCAACTCTGGCCCTGTTACCAACTTTGAGCCACATCTTCTTCCCGCCCTGCTCCAGCTGCATGCATCTCACATGCACGACATGGGCACTAGGCATTATCCCTGCTAGGATTCTGGTTGCCAAAGGGACAGAAATCAGGCCCCCCAGGAAGGCACAGGTTCTGCCCCAAGAGAGACTGACTGACTGCTGTGATGGGGCTGAACCTGCCTGCCAGTTTTCTCCCAAGCTACCATGCATCAGCCTGTCACAGGGAAGATACAGAACACTCTGTGCTGCTATGGGGCAGGGATACAGGATTCTGGCCATGCCAAAGGAACAGCCGGGTAGGTAGGAGTGCCCACTTACTACCCCCACCAGCAGCACGGGATGTTAAGGGTCCCCTGTGGTATCAGGAGCCCTCATGTCAACTAAGCTCTATCATGAGCCCCAGGTCCAAGAAACCTAAGGAAAGGCCCCAGAAGTCACCATATACAGTTTGTTCCTGCTGCAACTCCTATGGGCCCCTTCCTGCGCTGTAGATGCCCTGTGCTGTGGCCCCTGCCCCTGCAAGGCAAGCCGGCCATGCCCTGCCCCTGGTACTGCAAGGAAGAGCAAGTCCAGGAGCCCAGATATAGCTCCGGCCTCTGTCTTCATGGGAGACATGATGCCAAGCGATTCACGCCTCCCACTTGCCATCTGCTGCTTCCACCTCCCTGCCAGGGCGAAGGCAGCTGAACAGCAACAGCAACAAACCCAGCAGGGAGAAGCAGCCACAGTCTCCACTGAGGCTACGATCCCATGACCCCTACCTCTCAGGGGCACAGCACCTACCAGGCATTTTTCCAGGGGACACAAACATCCTCCTGCTCTGAGTGATGGGAATGAGCTATGCCTATCACCACCATGCTAGGTGTCTGCCCCACAGCAGGGTGAAAAGGGCATGTGAGAAGGCAGCATCCTGCTCATACAAAGGATGTAGGGAGGGTGCTGAGGAAATATAATAACCTTCCACTGCTACAGTGTGATAGACTCCAAAGTCTCTCCAAGGAACGTGCCAGCTACTACCACAATGAAGCCCCCTCAGGGTACAGTAAGAAGCCAGCACCATCAAACAAACATGTGGCTCACAGATAACACTCCAAGGGGTGTGGGAGGCAAAAGGCAGCAAGCTTCACCTCAGTCACAGCCTCCTCCCCACGAGGCATGGGCCCCTACAGCGGCATAGTGCTACCCCCCTAGGCACCAGTTCCCACTTCAAACCTTGCAGACCTCAGCGAGCAGCAAAAACCCTTGCCACCAGCACTGTGCTCACCCTCAGAGGGATAAGCACCTCCTGCTGGGGATGATGCCAGTGTCATAGTCATGGAGACATCAGGCTGGAAGGAGGTTACATCTAGTCTAGGCCCCTGCTCAGGACAGGCTCATTCCTATCTAAAGCAACCTACCAAGTGCTGGCCAAACCCGTGCAGTCAGGTCTATACTATTGTAGCACTGGGTGGTTAGTCTGGTGCTACCAATCCTTAGGACTGGGAGGACGTGGGTCTGGAGATGAAATGGGAATCATGAGAGCAGACGCTGCCTTTTTGGGCTCTGGGCCAGGTCACCTGCTCAGGCTCCAAAGTCTTCTGCAAAGCCACGGTCCAGAGGCTGCTTGGAAGTTGTGTGGGCTGAGATAGCAGTTGGTCTACTCTGCCATCACTGAACACAAGCTTTTCTGGTCTTACATGCTGCTGCCATGCTAAAGACCTACCATAATCCACCCCAAAAGGGGCTGCATTTCAGCCACTGCATCTAGAAGCATCTAGATCCCAAGGGATGCTACAGAACGGCAAGGCCTGGACATCCAAGTTTAGTCACCTCCAGTACAGCTTCTTATTGTTCCTGGATAAACCCTAAGCAGGCAGAGCCACACGAGGCACAAACCAGCATTGCCTGGTTCCCAGTGCAACTAGCCAGCTCCTTGCCAGAGGCTTCCCCACTGTGGGAGGAAGCTGTGCCCAGCAGGGCTGGAGTGGCACCTTGCTGGCGGGCATCAAGCCAAAACGGACAGATGGTCTGGAGCACAAGGGATGCCAAGGAACCAGACTGCTCAGCCAGCTGAGCCAGCAGAGCCTGGATTTCCTTCTTGCAAGGGCAGAGCATCAGCTGGGGCAGACCCAGGGTGTCTGCCCACTCACGTTGCCTGGACACAAGACCCCAACCTAGTAACCTCTGCTGAGTGTTTTGCACCTTACTAGATGGTCCCCCAGACATGTGCCCCCAAGCCCAGCTTCTTCCCTGGGCCCTGCCTGCCTATGATGTCACAGTAGCAAACTATTTGACACCACCTGTTTCCAGGGCAAAGAATGACATGCCATCGCATGATTACAGTGCCCCTGTGGAAGCAGGGATAGAGGCCCGGACAGCCAGATTGAGAGACGGGTGTGAGCAAGGGCAGCAGAGGGCATGGAAACACATGCCATCTAGGCATGACCCCAGTATGGCAGCCCCCTCCAGCCACAGGGGATGCACCCAAGCTGCTGCTGCTGCAGCTCAGCATGGGATTAACTTGAGGAATCAAAAAATAGTTCATGGCTGCAGCTAAAGTGTGATCTTGGCTCCTAGAAGCCAGGATTATGAGCTCACTGAGGGTGCCCTGTTAAAAAATAAAAAGGCTCCACTTGCGAGAAGCTGCTCCCAGGAAACAGCTGGAGCTCAGACTATGGGAATCTCCTCTTGGCACAGCTGGGATGTCAGCCCCTTGCACAGCTACCCCGAGACCCACACAGCCAAGGGGGCACAGTTCCAACAGGGTGGCACCACATACCCTGCCAAAGGCTGCAGCTTGGGCACAGTGGGGTTCACTAGCATGGTGCATTGCTCTGGCTGCAGCCCCCTCTTCATGGCCAAAGAAAACAATAAGGGACACAGGAAGGCTGTACAGCCAAGAGCTGTTCTCCTCGCCCTTACTCCAGCACCCCCTCAGCAAGAAAGCGACTGCAGGAGAACTCGTGGCTGTGCACCTGACCGAGGCTGCTGCAGAGGTAACCAAGGGCGACCCAGCTGCATCCTCTGCTAAGGCTGCAGCACCTCCAGGGCCCAGGCTTAAGCAGTTACTAAGATCCAAGCCCCCTCCTGAGATCTCCCAGTCCCTCCCCACCTCCCATGTCACTCCTACCTCTAGGGTGGTAAATACTCTCCAGCCCCCAACCCCTCTCTGTGGCCTCTCCACCAAGGAGCTCCAAGCCCTGCATACACATCCAGCAAATCTCTCCTAGCCCAGCAAGGTCCAGTCCTGTCACCCCTCTAGGCAGAGGGAAGGAGGGCCTAAGAGGGATGGAGGCTCAAGTTTTTCCAGGTGGTAATTCATTGTGGGTGCCCAGATCAAGCCTCCTGGAACCCAAGAGATGGGTATCCATAGCTCTGATGGGTCATCAGAAAAAGGTGTCACTAAATGGCAGGTGTCCCCCAAATGAGGCATATAGGGGAGAGGGACAGTGGTGGGACATGCCAGCCTGGGCAC